CTGCCAATTCGAATTAAAAATTCAGTAGTCAAAATTACCGCATAAAATCAGTTAAATATCCTTACTAATTGTTCAAAAACATTTTTTTCCAATTTGTTAGAGGGCTGACGACATTACCAGTAGATTAAAGGAACTGAAAAGCAAGAGATCAGAAGAAAGATCGTGGTTTTCGAACGGCAAAATCAAATACAACCAGCGAGACGATCCACGGGTCAAGCGATCCCAAATCGGTTCCAAGTTGGCGTGACCTAGGTAAGAAACCTTGAGTAATGACAGTATATCTTTAATAACTAAGCAACAACTAGTAGATATATAGCAAATACATCCGCAAATACGTCTAAATGATTCACTGCCATTGTCTCAGCTAAGTGACAATAAATTTGGGTAAATCTATGAGGAATCTAAAATTGATCTGAATGACAAGGAAGTTACGAAATCAAGAAATTTTAACTTTAACACCAAAGTCACCAAACAGTAACAGTGATTTAGATCCCTTCATCATAATTATTATAATCAAATTTTAATTCACGTCAAAGCTTGTAATTGCCACAATGAAGATACATTCAAATGATTAATTTTACTATAATATCCACAAGTTTAACATACTAAATCGAGCGGAACGTATTGTAAACAATGTTGACGAGAGTCAAAAATGTGGCGTCCCCTATACAGATCTTTTTGATCATTAACCTGTGTTTCAAATAACTTCTCCCTTAAAAAGAGCAAATCCTATACTTTGCAATATAAAATATAGGTTAGTTGTCAAACACAGTAGATCGATTAGTTCAAGACTTAAGAAATTGAAGATAGGAACGACACTTACAACAAAATAGATCCCTAAGATGCTTATAATTATTTTTTATAATAAACTGTTAAAACGATATGAAATAAACATGTCATTAATTAGAAGCAAAAACAAAAGAAATATTTATAGTAAAAAAATATGCAATGCATAACAAAGGGTATTCTTAAATCGATAAAACTAAACTGATATAAGTTATATAAGAAATTTTATAAAAAAAATCCAAACGAAACAGATGAATTAACTATTTATAGCAATAAATTCAATAAAATAAAGAATGCTGCTTAAAATATTTTTACAATAAAGAGTTTTTATAATGAACATAAGGACATCCTGAGATACGCATGGAAACTAATAAAAGAAGTCAGAAAAAAAGCAAATTTAAAATAGAGTTACCAGATCACTTTAAAGAGAATGAAACATTTATAATTGATCAAATTGGAATAAGCAATTAATTCAATGAATATTTCATTAACTGGTTGGACCAAAATTGGCTGACAAAATCAAAGTCAACAATGTAAATTTCATTGAATTTTAGGAGAGAGACCTGCAGTCTCTATCTTCTAAGATGC